GACTGTTCGACTAGCTCTGCTCGGCCGGGATCTGTACGCAGGTAGAATAGACGTACACAACGCAAAATAAAGTCTGCAAATTGTGGTACCCACTAAGTACTCCTTGCTTAATGCGCTACTCCTGCTCCGTCTAACGGACCGCACGATTTGTGGCAACCAGAACGACGAGTACATAGTACCGACGAAAAACAGTGCCAATGAAGGTGTAACGATGACGCGAACGACGAAAGTGAGGAAGAAAAACATCCCTAACCCTAAGAGAGGTCTCGTCAGCTATAAATACCAGAACACACGATACGGCCTACAGATGCGAGCCTGGGGATCAGAACGCAGATGTTGCATGAAGAGGCGGAAGAAGCTGGGTTCAGAAGGAACGGAAGGAGTGGGAGGGGCTGCCTGTGGTGCCTGCGTAGGTAAACTAGAATCCTCCTGAGGTGAAGGTGGAGTTTGACGAATGGGAGAAGGAGCTGGTACGACATCTTCTGGGGCTTGTACTTGATTGATGAGAATGGAGAATTGCTGTAAACCGACGGAAATTTTAATCAAGGCCTAGGGCGCTGCTGCTATTAGGATTACGCTCACCGCTTCATAAGCGAACAGCATGCAAGCTAAGAACGCAGGGGCAACAAGTGAAAGCGATGGCCGCCCATCAGCGAGGATGGCAAATGCAATATGTCCTGCAAACGAGACGGCGTCCACTATGGCTTTGGTAAGGAATGATCAGCGAGATAAACGAGAAATGCCAGCGGGCGTTCGGCTGCGATCCATCTGACGAGAAAGAAGAACGAGAAGAACGAAGTAGGCGAGTGCTGCCGTCCCGGCATCTGGTTAAAGATAAGAGGAATGATGAGCAACGCAAACAAAAAATAAGATGATGAGCTGACAGGTTGTAACTTTGCGGAAGAAAGTGCGAGACCTATTGATTGCAATGTCAGATCTATAAGGAATGCTCTACATGTGTGCTCCTACCTCAAACCCTCAGTATTGTTGATATGGTAAAGAATGCCACGTTCCTTGCTTAGTAGTACACCGTTGAGAGTCAACTTGGGAGACTTGACAGTCCATTTTCCAGTGGGTCTCTGTAGTTCTTCTTCCAGCTCATCCATGAGCTGCTCTGGAACTTGAGATGGCTCTATCTGAGAATATAGGGTGAATCCGCATTTTGATTTGCCGCTGTTGTCTGTAGAGAGATTAGCAAGATAGCTCCCTTAGGGACTAAGAATGATTGACATACCATCGTTGTTGCTGTCTTGGTCTATGATACCTTGATCGATCATAGTCTTTAGCTTGTTGATCCTTGAAGCAATTTCAGGTTCTACAGCGTGTGCTGTGGCGTTTTGGTAGCCCTCGGGTACTATGGATGGCAGTAGTCGTATATCTATGTTTCGGCTGAACATCAACATGTGAGTACGACGAACTCTGGTAAATAAGAGATATTACCCGATTGGCTCTGCAAACCCATAGATAATAGATAGAACCGTTTCCTATGATATGGACGCCTTCGAAATCAAGTCTCATATCATCTACATTTTTAGGATCAACGAGATCAATTCTGCCCTAAATGTGATGTTTGATGTGTTGGTGAACAAACAGATACGAGACATCGAGTTGACATACATGAACCATCGCTATTCTCGCTGATGCGTTATTCGCCGCAGTGACTTCCACAGGGGTGCGAGCCATCAAACTCCAAGGAATCTTTTCTGAACCGGACCAATTCCATGGCCCTATTTTCTGTAGTACTTCAGTCATATTAGGATCAGCCATGTAGGTCCGGGCCAGGGACGCCCATGCGAGGTCTGAGGTATTGGGATGAGAGAGGCTGGGAAGAGTGACGTTGTGGTAGTTTACATCCCCGCGAATAAAACCTGTCACATTGGGGAAATACGACGAATGCGATGGGTCGAGTTGCGAGCCAAATGTCATGAAAGACTGTAGCAGGGGAGCCACAGATGAGTCTGGTGCTGACTACCTTTGGACTCGGACATTGTTCTACACAACCCAGTCAAAAATAGCACGCACTAGAGTAAAATTTGACTCCGTCCCATTCATCCACGCAGTAAAATTGGACATTTGGAGTTCAATGACTGGAGTGCATCCTGATAATGGTTCCGTGCGAGAAACTCGTCTCCGCTGTGATTGGTGAGCATGAAAAGCATGAATATTATGAAAAGAAAAGAGGGAACAGAGCTCCTTTGGTTTTGTATCCGTACGGCTTCTGGAGGATTGACGGTTCCTTCATTGCGGTCCATAGCGTGCACCGTGCAAGTCACGATGTAACTTGACACAAACGCTCAGCCACAGCCTAGTATGTGTGGGGAAATCTCTCCAGCTCGCGTTCGAAACTCCGCAACGCGTCGAGCTCAACGATGGCAACGACATCGGCGTCGGACAGTAAACGGTGGACACATTTCCACTCGGCATTACAGCTCGCCATTCAACGTTCTGCACGCAAATGGACGTACGTTTACATATATCCTCGTTGCCACATTTACCAGATGAATTTGACGATATGATGAAACAGCTATGAAGACTTTACCGAATGTTTTTCTCTATGGTGCAAAGAAGAACCAAATGGCGCGTCTGCTGTGTTTAATGCTGTCTCAAGACATATGGAATCTACAGTATCTGTACGTGTTTTGGTCTATAATTTGTCAGGGTACACTGCTCATAGCTAGGATTAAAGAACAGTTGTGAAGATCTATTCAAAGAGTATAATGTTAGGGAGAGTATCAACATATTGCATGCTGTCGTTACAGAAGCTCGTGCACGAAAGCAGCGCGGAGAACTATCGGGGAAAGACGTTTGGAAAGAGGATTTACAACCTCGAGTTGCTGCTCGTGCTCATGTGGTGCCTATTCTAGAAGGGGAGGTCGATCGCCTGAAAGCAACATTGAAAGCTGTACGACAAATTTTTTCTGCTCATTCTCATACTCACAGTATATGTTTTATGTTAGCTCGAAGAAGAAAATCTGAAACTGCAAGCTCAATTTCGAGAGAATGTCAGGAAACAGGAAGAAACAGATGCGAAGACGACCGAGCTTCTAGATATTCTCGACGATGTATGTTCCATTGTCGTTCTTCCGTTTTCCAAGCTCACTCGAGTCATAGATCTACCACAAGTGGAATAAACTTCCCCACGAAGATATGGAATTGTGGACACTCCAGACTGCTGAATCATTAGGCTCGACACGGCCACCATGATCGGGGTTGGCGTAGTTTTTCAAAGTTTCTTAATATCTTAGCCGCTAAGCTCGGTCGAAGGTGATTGAAAATCAACGTAGCAGAGAACGGAAAGCCGATAGAAAGAACACCATACAACTTGCCAAGGACAGGCATCAAGTTCGAACACACCTGGGAGAATAATCTTGCGCCCCAGGCAGACGCCCAACTCGGAGTACTACCTATGAATGATAGTAATCGTTGGAAACACGTAGCAGAGTCAATTTGGGTACAATGAGGGTTGTATATTAATATACTAAGCTTCCAAAGTTCAAACGGGTGATTACATTGGCTACAGAGCGCAAATCAATTAACAGTTCACTCTCAGTAAAAACAAAAAGTCTGCTAAAGTCGTGTGAATGTCGGAAAAATCCACTTTCCATGGTTAGGCCGAGTGTGGTCTGATAAGATTGGCAGAAAACGGAGCATCAGATTAGATACAAAAGATTGCGAACAGGTCAGACCAGGTTTTATTCAGAATAATTGTTGCGATAGCCCTGAGATGTCCGAGTACACATGGCATTATGATGCGGCCGATTTGTATGAAGACTTTGATCGTTATGATCGCTCCGGCCAAGATGATAGGCCTTACCAGAATGGTCTTGCCGTTCGAGCTGAGGATTCCGATGGCGCTATATTGGTACCAGTAACAGTAGTCATATCTGAACAGACAGAACATGCCTGATTGTCCTGGTCCAAAGCCTTATTGTAGGTATGGCCTATATTATCTTTTCGAACCTTATAAGATAAATGCACGAAAAAAGTAGAGCTAGTTGATTGCACATGTGATATTCGAGCAATGAAGTATACAGAGTAAACTACCAAACTACACTGGCATTTCTATTAGGAAAATATAGCCTCGACCTTCAACAGATTATTCAGTGTGATGTATACTACTAGTAGAGCAGCTCACTCACTTGGTAGACATGTTCAGTAGAAATCACACCGGATTGATTGATCATTTATTGCCAAAGCTTGTCAACATAAGCGAGGAAGGACATCAGTGAGTACGAATAGAAATATTAGTGTTGGAAAAACATACCTCAGATTTGGTGGCTACAAAAGGTTGTTGAATATATCAGCCTTGGTCATACCCGCAGTCCAATGATCTGCATCAGTCAGAACAAAGAGTATATCTGGACTATGCTGAGGAAGTACTGTTGGAAGAATGCATTGCTGACCGCTGGTTCGGCACTGGCAAAGTTGTTCATGACTTCGAGGCATACTGTTTGGAACAACAATTATTAAGACATATATATATTCAACAGCTGTCATGAACGTACAATTCAAACCCGTGTCTAAGAAAATACCAGGAATTGATGTGAATCCTTTGATTAGTCGGCTTCCAGTCGTTAATTCTGCTTTAAAAGGATAAGTATAAGTATCGTGAGACATGTCAAAACGCACCTGCATTAGTAGTGATGTCATTTGCAACTCAGGATTGGTGGTGTTGGACAGGTTGGGTTTACTTAGGAAGTTTGCATGCAGTGATTTATATACTTTCTGTGGGTTGGTGGAGCCTCAGACGTCATGATTAGTAATTATAATGAAAATAGTGGATGAATCCACTCACCTTAGATTGAACTGAAAAACAGTCAGTTGTCGCCAACGCTATGCCATTGAACGGCAAAAAATGACGACGTGATTCTACACCCATTGTTGAAGAGACTTTGTCGTCCGAGAATAGCTCAAAACCTTCTTCATACAACAACGCTGCACCCACGGTCCTCGCACATGCAGCCAAGGGTCCCAGTGACCTTGAGAAGCATTGGTTAGCACTTCATGGAGACATAGAAGCAGTGAAGCAAAAAGAAATAGCTGCAAAGCCTGTAGCTGCAGGGACTCATCTGTCCCAAGCACCACCACTTCGCACCCCTTCACCAGTCATGCCAACCACGCCAACCAAATGTACTCCAGTGCTGAGATATGGATCAACAAGTACCCATACATCTGATGGAGTGCTCTCGTACCTCAGTGGTGGAGGATTCGACCAGGGATGTCCTGTAAACAGAAAGGGACGTTATAAGTATAATAAGCGATATAAATACAACGAACCTTTCACATTTGCAAGCCCCACTAAAATCGCTGGAGACAACTCTGAATCAGATGGGAACTTGGAGGGGGTTCAAAGGGAAGAAAACAAAGAGGTAAGGCATTGAAATATAGTGCAACTATTTAAGACTCACTTTTCTCTTGCTGAAAGAGTCTGGGCTGCAGAACGACTAGTCCTAGTAGTGTGATTGTCAGTGGCTTAACAGAAAAGGACAATAGCGGAGAACCACTGGCAACTGCGGCACCGAGCAAGTCCAAGCACCCTCTGGATGGGGATAATAGTATTGCTGAGCACTGGTGGCAGCTTGAGGTGCGTTGACCAGTGATAATGGTGGAAAGAGAGATCAGTTTATCTACTAGGTCTTTGAATGTCAGGATATCATTGATAATCGTCCAACAACACCTGTGTCCAGTCATAAATCCCGCCAGCTTCTCATTCTCCAATCTGAGCTTTCACCACCAAACCAGAAGAGAAGAAAGATTATGATGGCATCGTAATCAGAGAATCAGGCCCCCCAGCGCCTAGAAGAAACACTGCAACATGTTGGGAGGAGTCTTGACGAAGTAAAAGGTGTTTTGAAACATGATATTGTGGGAGCTATTTGTGAAGAGACGCAGGTCTTGAAGGATATACTTTGCGAGCAAGTGTCAAAGCAACACCAGTAGTAAGTGTTTGACAATGTAATATCATAACCAGCCTGTACCATTGTATTTTTGACTCAATCTTTATGTTGTTTTTGCTCTACGTTGATGTCCTGAGTCTGGATAAGTAATAATGGGCCATTGGCAGGCCAATTGCCATCTTATCATGATCTATTTACAGGTACTATCTATTAGCGATCATGCATTGATCATGCTTGATCATGATAGGCTCATGTGGTCAATTAGATATCTGATTGGTCAAGTCTGAGTCCAAGTCCATGTGCTTGCTCAACCTCTTCAAGATTGTTGCTTTTTTCTCTATCACTATCCCCTTTGTCCTCGTGAGCACTCTCTCCAGCCCCACTATGCTCCTTGGCAAGCTCATCCTCGTCCTCATCGAGCGCTGCCATCACACTCTGCATCAGTTGATCTCTACCTGTGTTAGTCAACTGGCCAGCAAGCCCGTGTTCAGTGTTGGGGAAAAGAGCCATATCCCACTGCCGAAAAATATGCAGTACACTCTGTTTTTGCTTTTTCAGGCCGCTTAAGAGGAATTGCAGGTAGTTATCGAAGTCTTCATGCCAATGAATACCTGACTCGGCCCCTCTCTCCTTGAAATAGTCATCTGGAGATAAAGTCCAGCGAGCCTGGAGAAACGGCCATGTGTGAGTCAATTATATTTGTGTTTAGCGCAAGGATTATTTACCAGAACAGCAGAGGCCGCAATCATGCCTGGTGTAGTATGGTCTAACCCCCATTTCAGGTCCATTGTTTCGTTGTTTCTGGTAGCACGAGATGGCTCCCCTTCGTTCATCAAGATCACAGATGCGGGCCCTCGTATTATGCAGCTAATTGTCTGCCGGGTAAAATTTATTGGTCAGCATTCACCACTGAATACAAGTTCTGACGCACTTTCTGAAGAATAGGGTTCAAAAATACACTTTTCACGTCAAACTTGCCTGCATAGTTGCTGTGAAGGATCTCAGCATTCCATGGATGGTATATCAAACTACCATCTGGACCCTCCGCTCGCCCTATCCTCTCCCCAAAATTTTCCTGCCTTACATGTGATACTCATAAGTCTCCTTCAGTACATTGAAATATAGCTGCGCCTCGAGCTCGAAGACGACTAGCCATATTTGACCTTTGTTCTTGCATTCCATCACGGAACTGTCAGGCCATTAATTACAGTAGTAGGTGTTGATCACATAAAACACTTACTGCACGAACTAACCAACATTTTTGAAGATCATCATGGTATTTGACAGGGAGCACATCCATGATATCCCAAAGCTGACCTTGTAATTTAGATCCTATGGTGTCAAATCGGTCGAGTGGATCATATTCATTATCCAAGCTTGTTTGGAAGGTCCTAGTTGGCTTGTGCAGCCAAAGAGCATGTGTCACTTCAAACTTTTGCCCGAGTCCTTTGACCATTTGCTCATGTTCCACCACATTATCTCGTAGGTCCACTCTCTCTTGCCTCTTTTTAGCCTCTTCCCCTTGTTGTCCCCCCACTGAATCTTTGTTTTCTCCATTCATAGCATTATTGTATTTACAACGCATGGCCCTTGCGTCCTCTTTTGCAGTGTTGGTGTAACAACCAAGAGTTATTTACTCTGGCGCACACAGGAACACACTATAGAGAGAGATGGTGATGGGGAGTGGTTACCCCTTAGGCTGCAGTGAGTTAGTTGGTATACAACAGGAGGACTCGCTGAGGAGTCTCCTGGATCTATTGGGGTATATATACTACTACAGGTTTGTTTGTACATATGTACTATACAGTTGATGAAGGCAGTGGCTGATGATGTCATAGGGCCTAGCCCGTATGGCCAGCTCCACTGTGTGAGAGAGTTGAATCTAAAATAAGAGAAAGGCAGTGCGGCGCGGGAAAGGGGAAATGCCACGTGACACTATGTGTAAAAGCTAAAGTATTTAAGTTAAAGCGGAGAATGAAAAGAAGGGAAATGTCCGGAAATTGTGTTATCGTAACAGTTGGCTTCAATCTGAGCCTTCCGTGCAACCTATAGGTATGTTGTTAATATACCTCTGGGTGGGACACTGACTAAACTATACCTTGTACAATGAACCAGGTGACATTTGACGACTAATGTGGCTTATATCTGTGTCCTCCGATTCCATAGTACCAGAGTCAGATCTCTGCTTGGAACTCAGTTCATTGTTGTCCTCTTGTGAGTCCATTCTCTCTCTTTCAGGCTCTTCTGATCCGCTATCATTTAGACTTTGTGCCCTGTTAGGCAATCTCCTTTGCACAAAGGTCTTGTGCCTTGCGTGGGATGCTCTACTTTCCGCAGTTTGGGCGACCCGTTGCGTCTTTGAAGCACCCAAAGCTTGCCTTGCATCTTTGGTGTGTTTCTGTTGTTTTGCCATTGTGTTCCATGTGGGTTCAAGTTGGAGGTGAGCTGACTAGCGCTCCACACTTGACCCCGACTGATGTTAGGTCCCGTTACATTAATCTCAGTCCACCACATCCCAACCACCGTTAAAGTGTGAATTGGTGAGCTTCTCTGTTGTCAAATATTGCAGCTCAAGCATCCACATTCCTTATCCACAGAAACCAACGCAAAATCATGTCTCATCTTCCAAGAACAAGCAGGATTGAACAGGGACCGTGGTGCCAATACTGCCAGCAACATCGTAATGCGCGCCGGTTTGACAAGCATATTGAGTCCTGCAAAATAAAACATCAGGAACACTTAGAGTTTGCATCAAGAGTGCACAGTAAATTTGCCCAATCCACCAAGAAAAAGGCGTAAAGAATTAGTACGTGTACAATTTCTCTCAATATTTTATATTTTACTCCTTTGAACTTCTTTATTCAGGTTAACAATATCACCCAAGCCGACAATGATGAGCTCGGATTGGGTCTTTCTATCAATAGTGCGTATATTACTGAAAACTAGTTTATATCTAATAATCACATATGAAATGCTATTAGGGTGTGAGGAGCCAAGTATTGTGACAAATGAGCCCAGCATACCACAACTGTACAATTTGACTTCAACCTTTATACAGATCATCTACCATCCTCACAGTGGGTTGACCGAACCAAAGAAAATCCCACTTGACAACGTAGCCCCCCCTTTGACACATCAAGATGACCATAAAACTGGAGTTGGACGAACGGCGGATATCAAACCATGGGCTCCTTTTCATACACGCGCTGACTTTGAGTATGCAAAATCGGCAGTTACAGGGCTTCTTAGTAGAAGTATTGTTGACGCTCAGCTTCATGGGATACACAATGGATGGGCAGAAAACACTAATATATCATTTCAGAGTTATACACAAATAGAGAACACGCTGCGCATTGCACGCGCACATTATGTCCTGGTGAGCCGAGTAATGTCTCAAATATCTTTGTCTAATATAACCATCAGTTTCAAAAAGGTGCCGTATCTGCTGATTATCTAGTAAAAACATACACATTCAAGTTCAAATATCGTGATCCCTGGAAAATTCATTCCAATTGGATAATGGACAAAACGCTGGCACCGCTAATTTGTTGGTATCCAACTCAGAAGTTCCTGTGTCAGCAGAATGGCAGGATAATTTTAAAAGAGCAAATATATGATGAGTTTAGCACGGGTAATAAATGGTGGATTATACAGATAACAAAACCATATACTCTATTCTCTATTCTACATGACCTTTGATCCAATTTACAGAATTCACTTCCAGATAACGAGGATATCCCACATTGTTTCCTCCCTGTCTCCCTCTGGCTAGACAAGGGAAACATCACAAAGCGTGTTAAGAAGCATCCCATCATCATTCGCCCAGTTTTTCTTCCGCATCAAGTCAGGAACGCATCAGGCAACGGAGGGGGTGTTCTTGTAGGCTATATGCCAATTGTAAGCATTTTCCCCCTCATTATATGCTATTTACTCTATTATTTTTACAGCCTCGAGATCCGGCCGACCCATCAGACTGAAATGCCCCCAAAACAATCCAGTGGCAATGTTTCAAGCGGGAGGTCTACCACAAAGTTGCCAAGGTAATATTTGGCTCACTCAGGAGTCCTGCACTCTTTGGGGAAGCGATGACTTGCGGTGACAAAATAAATAGGATTGTGCACCCTGGGATACCAATCAAGTCCGTTGATGGGGAGGAAAGCTGCGCGCTGACAGCTACCAGAGCAGCTTTAGCCAATTTCCCATGTCCGAAGTGCTTAGTCCATCACAACTATTTGCACTGTCTCCTCAAAAACTTCAAAAATTGGACAACAAACACAATGTAGCAAGTTTACAAAAATTCTATTGAGGCACCAAACAAAACTGAAGCGGAGCGAATTTTACAAAGTTATGGATTACATGCAACGGAGGTTTGTACTTTTTCTCCTTTTTCTCTTTGCTTTGTACTACTAATAACTGTCACAATAGAACTTCTTTTGGACATTGGAACATTCAGATCCCTACCTCGCTATCTCATACGACAAACTTCACTCGGATGACCTAGGCAAATGGGGAAAACACATATGGCCCCTCCTGCTCAACGTGTTGGCTGAAGATAGGAATAAAGGCTGTATGGCTAGGAAGTAAGTTTCTTGCATCTTAAACTCGCAACTCATTATAATCAAGCTCACGGATAATATGCAGCATGCGGCATGTTTGTAGATGGGCCGGGCTCAAACATTTTTTGAATGTCACTACAGTCAAATATGCGGATGGCCAAGTGTTTGTAGATATATTAAAGGTATGTATTACATGATAAACATCTTTGTGAACTATGCTAACAGCCTTTAGTGTATTTGTATTCTCCCATGTATCGCTCAACTTCTCCCCAAAAACTCATCACTCGTATATGGTATCCGGGCTTATGGGAGATACCGAACCATGATAGGCCTCAATTGCCTAACTCAAGGGTGGCTACATCGGCTGAAACAATATATCAAGGACTAAGAAAAATGCTGCGAGGTGAATCAGAAGTCTATATATATAAGCTTTTATCTAATGGCTAATATACTTTACAGCACATTTTAAATGACTATGGAAAAAACTTCGACTTCATCAAGCAGCATGGTGTCAGTCATGTCATCAAAGATATCATGCTGAAGGGTGCAACAGACAACTACGACACACGGGTTAGTGAGGGTTTCCATCAAGAAGTGCAGGAAGCATATGAGCAGACAAACCGAAAGGATACTGATGGTCGAGTAAGTTTTCTCTTCCTAGGTAATGGATACCACAATCTCAGCATCGTCTTTGTAGATGGCTCGTATTGACAAAAATCAAGAAGCGGTTGCTCACATACGAATGACCATCAACAACTACAACAAAACCCGCCATGAACACACTAAGGCCAGCAACCTGGAGGACAAACACTTACTTCCCCCACATGACTTGAATTCCAACAAGGGCTAGCCTAGGCCCAATGGAAACCATTGGTCACTAGGCTCACCCATGAATCTTACAACGTCGCAAGTGATGGAGCATTATGATGGTCTCTGAGGGTTCCACAAATATTTGCGAAGGTTCCTGGCTGCCAACTGTGATGTAGCAAATGCTGAAGATCCCATTACTGTAAGCTCATCAATATATGCTCCCATATTTCTAGTCATAAGCTTCTAACGCTGTTCCTCACTTTACAGATTAGAAATTATCAGTGCATATACATTCAATATTAATCCATGGAAGATTGGAACAAAGGATGCGATATTCTCCGATGTAACCCCAGCTTCAATCAAGAACCACGTTTCGACTTCGTTCTTGTCAACACGGACACCCCAGAGCCAACCCCTGCTCAACTCAAAAAGCTGATCAGAATATTTACTCAACATTCTTCATTTAACATTGCAGTGGTCAAGGTGCTCAAGTTTTCGGCTGGAAACCCAAGGACTAGGTGGACGGGCGCTTGGCTGTATGATAAAGCCAGAGATTTTGAGCTAGTAAAAGCAGAGTACTTGGTTTGGGGAGTTCATATGATCAATGCGTTTGATCTCAAGGACGGGAGCTTTTATTTAAACGATTTAATTGACTGCGACATGTTTTTACGTTTTGGGAATTGATATTAATACTTTTACATTTTATCTATCAACTAATGACTCTGAGTCCACTAAGTGTCTGAAGGAATGAATGAATCTGGTATGGCCCGCTCGTATTTTCCAATGTTGTGACAATACCTGGTGAGAGGTAATCTGCGGTCCTGATTTTGCCACTTTCGCTGATTGGCCTGATCGTTTCATCTCTCATACCTGATTAGCGCTTGATCAGTGTCTGATCATGAACGCAACAGATTGACAGACAACACAGGATTATCTCAGATACTCACAGTGTCTGATCTGCTAAAATGGATTTTTCTGACAAAAGTCAGAGTAATAGTTGAGTGAAGTCAAGTGAAAGTCGTGCAAAGTCTACCTTTAGTTAAAAAATTTGAACTTTTACTAACTTAGAGCTCGTACAGGAACTCAATTTTCAGAAAATATTGGTTTTTTCCAACTTTTCAGCCACATGATGCCGGGGAGTCAAAGCATGCTGTACTCTTTTTGGGAGTACAGTCTGATGGCACGAGGGGAACAATATATATGTTGTCCAATGGTCAATGCTTCTTCAACTGTCCTCATGCCCCAAATGAAACAAAAATATGGTGTAGGACATACCCTGGACCATGTTCCTCCTGGAAAATGACCACAACAATCCCTCAGAATGAGCAAAAGTCAGTCCCAGAAATCTAACAACCAAGAAGTAGAAGATGAAGGAGAGAGTGTCAGTCAGAGTAGTGGCAATGCCATTTGGACCGAGATCAAAACTACAGCCCTTATCAGCTACATCAAGAAACATTGCACACAAGGAGGGGACAGCCTCAACTTTAGGAGGGCATTTTGGCCAGGGGTGGCAGCTGACATTGCACCTCTCCTTGCGAAAGGACCAGCAAAAAGTGCTAATTGCTGTGGTTCAAAATGGGGCAGGGTTTGTAGATGGATATTGTACCCCACCGTACACTATTTGCTAACAAAAATCATGTGTTAATGTAGCTCCGTACCAAATATAATGAAATCAGTGCAATTGCAAACTTATCTGGTGTACCATGGGACAACAAACTAGAGCTGAATATACTTGACAAAAGTGAGGCGGTCTGGGCAGAAATTGTTGAGGTACGTACCTGGTTTTTACCTGCATGGGGAGGAGTCTGAATCAGCATTAATATGTAGAAAAATCCGAGAGCAAAAGCATACAAGAGGGAGGTGTTATGATACACAAAATTTTGGACCTTTAATTTTCATGCTCCTCTTCAACTTTCTTTTGTAATTTTCACACACTGTGCTATGTGGCACTTTCCATTTTGGTTCAAACTCCATCTTCTCACGCTACACTGCCTTTTCCTTATTTTAGCTACAAATTTGTCACACAGTGGGGCTGATCACACGGGCTGCGCCCTCTGACATCATCAGCCACTGCTTTCATCAACTGTACAGTATATAAGTACAAACACCCTGTAGTAGTATAAATACCCAATAGATCCAGGAGACTCCTCAGTGAGTCCTCCTGTTGTTTGCCCACAACTAACTTGGTCCTACCTATAGGGGTAACCACTCCCACTCATTATTCTTTTGCTTGTCTGAGTTGTGTGCCAGAGTAACAAACTCTTGGTTGCTACAGGAGGGGTGGGTGCATTATAGTGCTATGCAGGAGCTGCTGGGGGGTCAGCACGCCAAGGGCTTGAATGCCTTTTGCACCCCTAGAGTACCCCGAGCCCCAAAGGTGCCAAAGATGTCCACATCCACCACCCAGGTATCTACTCCGCCTGTTTCCGCCACCACAAATTCTACCACATCTATTGCGCCTACACCTGCTGCACTCGCCATGCCTACCGTCTTTCGTGCAGTGCCCGCTGTTGTGGCTGCTGCACCTGCCATCCCTTATGCAGCTGTGTCTGACATAGCCACAAAGGATCCTCTTGGTTGCATCAACAACTGGCTTGGCAGCCTTCCCTCCCCAACTTCTGCAGCTGTGCTTCCTCCCATGAGTTTGACCACTTCAGCTAGTAGCAAGTGCTCGGCTCAAGATGCTGAGATTGACATTCATAAAGGCGCAACTGTCATCTCCCACAGCAAGAGCACTGGTGGAAGCAATCAAAGCCAAGGTTCCAAAAAATTCCCACGTAATACCACTGCCAATGTGCTCATTAGCCTGAACAACAGACTTGGCAAGTTCCTCCCCATCATGCGGGACTTCAATACTAAACTAGACATTGACCTTGGTACGGAAGCTCCCTTTGCTCCTCCTGCTCCTCCTCCCAAAGTCTCTCAGCCAGAAACACCTGTTTCAAACCTGAAACATGTTCATCAAAGCCATGCCATCTCTGCTGTGTTGAAAAATAATCAGTACCTGGGAGTCAATGATTCAGTCAAACTGTTTCAAATTTTTGAGCACAATATTGTAGTTGTAGATACATAATACCTTAGCTTTTTGCAGAACAATGAGTTTTGCTGTGTCTATGTTTGCTCAAAGCTTGTTTAGTTAGTAGTATGATCAGTGGTCTTAATGTACTTATATCTGTGTTCTCCGTACCACAATGAAGTTATTGATTGAGTCAATCCATTCATGTGTGACTTTGAGCAAATAAACATTGTAGTATACTGACTTACAACAACCCTCTCTTTTGCAGCTCTACTTGATAGTCTACCCACATCTCCTGAGCAATTTTATCACATTGGCTGTTTGCTGCTAGACGAGCTGCTTCTAAGATTACTTGATATGAAAGCTCCCCGTGATTGCCATTGTCGGGTGTGAGAAGATCAGTGTCTTTGTTATTGTCTTTGTCATTGGTTGGATTGTGAGTACGGATGAAGTTGTGAAGGAAGCAAACAGCAGGTGGGATAAAAGCCTGCACAGACATATCGTATTCAGGTGCAGCCTTTGAGATCGAAAACCGGCACTTCAGAATGCCAAAGATACGCTCAATGATGTTCTGAACCAATGCATGGCGCAAATTGAAGTACTCTTGCGGGTCCTGGGGCCTTTTAGAAGTGAGCTTAGTCCAAATATATATATTAGGGATTTACCTGCGGTTTCCACAAGCATATTCAGCCAGGTGGTAGCGCACACCTTTGTAGGGGACAAGGAGCTGGTTACATGAGGGAAATCCTGCATCAGCCAGATAGTATATACAGATCATGGGAGTGGGCATCATGAAAGAGACTGGCATCTGCAGCGGACCCCTCCTACCCACTAAGGACATACGTAAACTGCGTGTTGAAATCACAGCACAAAAGGCAGTTCTGCAAGAAAAAGCCCTTGCAATTTTGCATAGCATCACGCTCTGCAGCCAATGGGCTGCAGGCAATATTAGTGCCGTCAATTGCACCAATGGCGTCCTTGAAGTGGCAAAGTTTTGGGTTGTTGGCAATAGCAGCTGGTGTGGCCTCAGTGGCCTCAGGAAGACGTACATAGTGTAACAACCAAGAGTGATTTACTCTGGCGCACACAGCACACACTATAAAGAAGAGGAAGTTGGGGAGTGATTACCCCTTAGGCTGCAGTGAGTTAGTTGGTATACAACAGGAGGACTTGCTGAGGAGTCTCCTGGATCTATTGGGGTATATATACTACTACAGGTTTGTTTGTACATGTGTACTATACAGTTAATGAAGGCAGTGGCTGATGATGTCATAAGGCCTAGCCCGTATGGCCAGCTCTACTGCGTGAGAGAGTTGAATCTAAAAATAAGAGAAAGGCAGTGCGGCGTGGGAAAAGGGAAATGCCGCGTGGCGCTTAAAGTATAGAGTTGAAGCGGAGAATAAAAAGAAAGGAAATGTCTGGAAATTGTGTTATCGTAACACATAGGAGTTGTAGATATTGGTGGAAGTGAAAGCCTGAAGCATCCACTTGAAATACTTGGTGATTGTGTCGTTGGAATGTTGAAAGTGTTCAGCAAGATGGCGGGTAGATAAACTGGTGATGCAGGCATACAGAAAGATGGCAGTTGGTTTCTCCAGCATGGCATGCTTAGAGTCAGTATACCCATGACTCTGCAGGAAATTGATAAGCCTTACAAATATTTCTCGCCACATCCCCAGCTCAGTCCTTATTTGATCAGGATAACCGTCCATTAATTCTCTAACCCATCCATAACCCGTCAGGATTGAGTTATGATATGGCCTTGGCTGTGGTTGCTGCTTCTGCTCCTCAGCAACAGCTTGAGCTGTTGCAATGATCGACTGAACAAGGATTGACATGAACCTTGACATCTGCAGGCCATATGAGAGGATCTGTTGTCTAGTCAAGGCGATCTGTGAGTTGGATGGGGCTTGATTTTTGTCCTCTATTTCTGGACTATGAATTTCTTCTATTTTGTCCATGCAATTAGAATTTGACTCAATATTGAGCTGCAAGACAAAACTTATAATAATGGCTTGTCGCGCTGACTAGGGGTATGTGCAAAAATGTCGTGGTCTGTGTATTTTCATTTTTTTTTTCTCCGCTCTAATCGGGAGGAGCTGGACCGAAGCAAAAATCAATTTTTTTGAAAAGTGAGAGTTCCCGTACGAGCTCTTAGTCATTTCATAGTCGGAGTCAAGTCAGACACAGTTTCCTTAATCAGGTCATAGTCAGGTTTAGGTCAAGCATTAGTCAGACTCAGTTTGCACTAAGAATCTACCTGTACACATCCAATAACATGAGATATCATCACAATATAAATTAGCAAAATCATGTGACTGATGTTAATGCAATGTCAGGCCCATGCTTTTTATGGGTTGTGTTTCCAATATTTGCGAATCCAATGAATGTCAATCATATGTCTGTTGCATAATCTCTGGACTAGCTCTAGCAACTACATCATAGTTATGTACTGCAAGACATTCAATTTGTGTATATCTAAACACCACACTTGTATTAGATCTGAGCACTATGTTCATATTACATCTTAGCACCACATGGAAATTATGTAGACCTTGTGCATAATAAATCTGAGTGAAACTCAGCCGCTGCCTAAGAGGCTATAGAAACAACTGAGGTATTCCTATACTAAACCCCCTACTACTTATAGTCGGAGGTGCTGCTTGCTACAGTATAATAACTCCTAGGAAAACAATGGTGACTCCATGAAGCAGCCATTGTTCTTCTTGGTGCTTTAGCAGAAACCAGGTTCTTCCGGTTCTGTCAGTGCATAGCAATTATATCTGAGTGTGACATGAACATTATATCCGGTTGTAAATTGGGGAGTGTTTCACTTATGGATGGTAATTCACTCTGATTATTTTGTTTACTCACTTATTCACGCAGTACTGAATTTTAACCTTGGTTATATTCAATGATATGTCAGAGTTTGTGATTAGATTGTCCTAATCTAATCACAAACTTGGACTAAATACCTATCTTAAAACTATGTAGTTCTATATACTTAAATGAGGTGTAAGGTATGACTAATCCAATCAATACCTTACACCCTCCCCCAGAAAAAGAAGGTTCAGTGTTTGTATGTACAAAGAGAGAGAAAGTAAAAAGAGAAAGGGAAATATTTTCATGATATATATGTAAGGTATATTGTATGTACACTTGGTTGTACAAACATGCATAGTATCAGAATGAGATAAAACAAAATAAGAGAGATAATAAAATGAGACAAGAGAAAGGACAGAAGAAGAAAGAGTAAAAGAACTAATGTTCATACAATGATAATATTCTATTATGATGGTGATGGCAGGCACAAAGCATGAGGCAATGTGACTCAACAGCAGTAGCCAACATCCAGCAGGAAAGACCTCTTACATGGGAGCAGGGCCTTGCTCACCCCTGAATGGGGGTAAGTCCTCCATCTCAGTGTCCTCGTTTTGGGGACCTGTGGTTGATGGACCAGCCAAGGAGGAGCCTGCCTTATTTGAGTTGCTGGGGTCAGCTACCAGTTGTCCTGGAGCAGGGCCTTTGCCGTTGCTGAGCCTTGGTGTTGGGGTTAGTCGGTGAGCTTTACACTGAGCATTGCTGCCTCAGGGTCACTTCTAAGGTCTGCTATTTCCTGGGCCAGCCAGAAGTAAACATGCACCCAGGGGTCATCAGCTTCTGCATATGTCACACTGCTAATCACGTTAGTGGCACGTGAGTTGCTTCACTGTGATATCCAGCACGGCAGGGAAGCGGTTTTGCCTCATGTTGTGCTGGGCAATTTTGAGGTGCATATCCTCTACAAAATTCCAGTATAGTCCAGGGTACAAGAGGAGTTTAGCCACTGCTCATGTGTACTGAATGTGTCTTGCCCTTCCTTCTGGTGTTGACTCAGCTTGTGAGCCAAGCCTTGCAATAAGGAGGTACCCCCGAATGAATCTCAGGTTGTAGAGACCACTGATCAGTTCAGGGATACCCTTCTTCTTCTAGTTGTGGTGAGCCATCCACTTACCCCAACTGGACACTGTGTCCATCAGCCTAGGTTGTGGTACACTTTTTTTTGGTCATAGTGACCCTTTTTGTGTGCTCATTCACGTAACGATAGTCCATAATCATTTGCTTCTTACCATCTTTTTTAGGAATGAAGAACACCGGGGACGTCATAGGACTTTTGGAAGGTCTGATGTAACCCTTCCTAAGTTGTTCGTCTATGAAACTAGATACCTCATCTCTCTCTGGGGAAGAGAGCGGTATCATGTGTCCTTTTCTTGGTTTAAAGGTGTCCTTCAAATCTATAGCATGGTCCCAAGGCTTAGCCTCTGGGAAGCGCTCTGATTTGTGTTTAGAAAAGACTTTCCAGAAGTCGTGGTACTTGGGAGGTACCAGCCTCTTAATCTCTTCCTCAGGTTTTACCTCATCATTGTCATCATCGATCTTTTCTAAAGATCTGAGCTCGTAAACGTGACTAGCATTTAACTTTTCGAGACGCTCATCGTGACGGACATGATTTGGTTTACCCAAGTTTACACATTCCTGAGGGCAACGTGACAATGTGACAACCCCTGTCTGCCAGTTGATCTCGGGATTATGTTTAAATAGCCAGGTCCAGCCCAAGATTAAGTTAATCTTCCCTAGTTGGGTAGCTTTGGCAGTGACTCGTTCTCTGTGTCCTTGGTATTTGACCACAAAAGAACATTTGTGCGTGATACAGCCACCTGCGTTAAGCGTACCGTCAACGTTATAGACGGGAATAGATACATTTAATTTTACAAGGGGGAGTCCAATTTGCTCCGCCCAGACCTGATCTATGAAGATCCCGTTAGCGCCTGAATCAAGCAGTGCGCTAGTTGGGTGTACTTTGCCCTGGGCAAGGTTTTCCACGCCAACGTCTAAACAAATCTCCTTTTGGAATAAATACATAAATATGTGCGCATCAACACATGCCTTGGGATTTTGGGAAAGGGTGGCTCTGAAGAGGAAGGGGAAACATTGAACGTTACATGTTTTTCTATTTTATTTTTACCAGAATCAAGCACCCTAGTTTTTGTCTTGCCGGGGCCACGCTCCAAGGGAGACGCTGGTGCAGCGGTAGTATCATAAATATTACAGTCACAATGTTTCATACAAGTACAAGCTTCTGATAACAAATTTAGAAATTTATTTACAAATTGGGGAGCCATCCCCGTCTTTCCTTTATTGCTCGTGCAACACCCCGGAGCAGGGGCCACTTTGTTGTGGTTTACTTCATTTTTAACAGGAGCTAAGCCCCGAATTCTTTTCCCTGAGCCTTCATTTCATTGACCTGTTGGTCATAGAAGAAGGCCCGGATTTTGTCGTACGAACGACCGGCCAAAGAGTTGAGCCGATCGTCCGGCTTCTCGGATTCTAGTTGGCGCGCCTGGTGCCCTTGGTTATTTTTTTGTTGGGCGGCCTGCGCCCCATTTCTGCAATCTTGGGACATGTGTCCTTCTTGGCTGCAATTGTAGCAGTTCCCCTTGAATCTGCACATCTGTCCGCCTTGGACCGCACCAATATCCATAGGGGCTCCCTGCCCTGGTTACAGCCCGAACAGCTTGAACCCGTGAGAGTGATTATGATTTTGGTTTGATGACCCAGGGCGCCTCTGGGATGTGTTATTTTGTTTGGTGGACCCGCCACCTTGGTGCATGGTGTAGAGCTCTATGGCTCCACCGACTCGTCGTACTTCTTCAGCCGCCAGGGCCAAGTTGTTGCTTCGTGTATCTTGCAGATAGATCTGCTCTGCAATGCGAGGGTTCACATTGCGTTCTAGCAGTTCTACTGCATGTTCATTGCCAAGACCCCCTTGGATTGAGAGGGCCAGGAACCGGGTTACAAAATCATCTGTCCTCATGTTTCCTTGTTTGAAGAAACGGATTTGCTGATGCGCCCAGTCATGCTCAGCTTGCAATTTGAAATATTTTTCGATCTCTATTTTGAGATCGTCCCAGGTGGACCACACTCCCGCAGTGTAGCACTCCTGCAATTGTACTTGGGCGTATCGACCCGCCACAGGTCCTTTTAGGCGAGATAGTACTGCAGTGGCTACCTCAAAATTGTCGGCAAATGCATCCCAGTTTGCTTTGACCCAAATTTGGAGTTTAATCCACCATTTGGCGAATTGCGCTCTGTCTTCCTCAAAGGCGCCGGGGTCAGCGATGACTTTGACCTTTTTGTTGAACTTCTTCTCTACCGAGGGGGTTGCTACAGGGGGGTTTGCCTGTATCTCGGCGAGTTGCGAGGTTAATGCTGCAATCTGTGTGCGCATGGCGTGCAGCAGAGCATTCATATCTTGGGGTTGCAACGACATGTCGACTTGTTCTCTTTGGTAATGTAAAAAAAAGGTAACTGGGGGTCCCCGCTTGCTATCTGCGGATCAGCCTCTTCCCAGCTGAGTATCGGATCTCAATCTCCGACTACCCACACTATAGTATTTGAAAAGGTATATAAAATGTATTTGTAATAAACCCTGGTCCGAACGGTTGTCAGGGGGTGGTCCGCTTGTTAAGCTGTCAACCCTTCTCCAGACTGGCGGAGGCAAGTGCCCGGCCTGGTCAGAGGTATTCGAAGGTGAAGTTTTGTATTCTAAATCTAATCAACAGCGGTTCCACACCGACTGCTGAGCTATGGTACTCCCCTTAACGCTGGGGGCCGCATATCAAAGGTTTTGGGTTCTTCTCCCAAAGCACTACAAGGCCGTCGCTAGGAGCGCACCTATCTACTATACGGGATATTCCTAACCGCTAACCAATCTCCTTCACCCTGGAGTCCGGGTGCCCAATGGGACTTTTGCACACACGTGCAAGAGAGTAGAAGAGCGAGTCCTAATGTAACAACCAAGAGTGATTTACTCTGGCGCACTCAGAACACACTATAAAGAAGATGAAGTTGGGGAGTGGTCACCCCTTAGGCTGCAGTGAGTTAGTTGGTATACAACAGGAGGACTCGCTGAGGAGTCTCCTGGATCTATTGGGGTATATATACTACTACAGGTTTGTCTGTACATGTGTACTATACAGTTGATGAAGGCAGTGGCTGATGATGTCATAAGGCCTAGCCCGTATGGCCAGCTCCACTGCGTGAGAGAGTTGAATCTAAAAATAAGAGAAAAGCAACGCGGCGCGGGAAAGGGGAAATGCTGTGTGGCACTTAAAGTATAGAGTTGAAGCGGAGAATAAAAAGAAAGGAAATGTCTGAAAATTGTGTTATCGTAACAATCCCTGTTCTTCAACAAATTTGTTATCTATGCAACTTCCGGTACAGCCACTATCTAGTAGTGCTTCAATTATCGTTGATTGATGTGATGTGAGGTTTGTCAGTCTGCAGGTGACATTCATTTGGTTTCCCTGAGTGCCGCGAATGAATTGTTTGGGCTTTCTCAGTTCTTCCAATGCTAATACCGTTTTGTGAATTGGTAAAGTGTTTAGTTCTTTTATCAGGTTTGCATTGACTTCTAGTCCTCGTTTCTTATGGGTCTAGCTACTTAGGATACCAATAGATCTTCCTTCCTTTTGGTCCCTGAGTCTTTCTGCTATCCAGACAGCTGTCCATGGTGTTTTCAGATCTTTCTTTTTGTCTAGGTTTTTATCTGAGGTGTTCCTGACCTCTTTGGAGCGGGTTGAAGTGTCATGACTTGAACAAGAAGCGCTAGTCTGAGCGCTAGTTTCCTTTTCATTTTCTTTGATATCTGATCACATGACAGATATGATATGTTAAGCTGCTGCTATTAGCGCGGATAACATAATACAAAGTTACATCAGATCACGTGACCATCACGTGACAAGAGTCTAGACTATTACAAAGAACATCAGTCAGCGCCTCATGGCTGACTTTCAGAACGTATATATAGTGAACAACCATGTACATATTTTCCTCAGTTGTTGATTACTTCTTAATCGATATTTGTGACGCTACTTGTTTGATTTAAGCCTTCATCCCTCCGTTAACTCGGTATAGGGGATAAGACTTTACATGAAGCATCAGTCTCGGTTATGCTACCCAATTGAGTCATAACATTCTGTGCTTCAGTTGTCTCCTTTTTAGCTGCTGCGCTTCTTTCAGTCCTATCCCCTTTAGGTACTGACTGCGCCGCATCTTTGGGAATCTTATCAACCCATTTCCCTTTCAGGTTCTCCTCTTTCATAGATTGCTCTTTTCGTCTTAGATCTTGTGCGTCTTTAAATAAGGCGATATTATTTTCATCTTTACTAGTACATGTAGCATCAAGATCATCGACAGTGAGAGAAGCATATCTATTTACATTGTTCTTTGGCACAGTCTGGTGAGGAGTTGCAGCCGGCCTTCTTAAAAACCCTGGAGCAATTTGGCTTGTTCTTCCTCCAGCATTGCTTCTAACATTGCTCAAAGGTCAAACTTTGGTTTCTTTTCTGGTATTTGTCCGTTTAGGTGGTCTCTGGCCCTATGGCCCTTTTCTCCACACTTAAAGCAGCGTCCTTCTACTCGGAACTTCTGCTTGTCTACTTCCATCTCTTTTCCGGCTCCGGTGTATAGCGTACCCGTGCCGTCTTTCTTTAATTCCACCCTCTCGGCCTTCTTCTCCGAAGTGCCCCTTTCTTAGTATCTTCCATTGGGTCCCCGGTTCCCTGTACCGGAGCTGCCGCTGGTTGATCCTTTCATCATCTTCTCATTCTCCATCTGGTCTCACCACAATTGATTATTGGTGACAATCCTTGTCTTCCACTCCACATATATCATGGGAACATTCCCATTGTAGATGATCTGCTTGATAAGCGGACCATTTACATTGTTTCTGATCAAGGTGATCAAAAACTGTTCGTTCCTTTTGATGTCATAGCCGTCTTGCCTCCTCAACTCCTGAAACTTTACAAAGAACTCTTGAGCTGTCAGAGCTCCCTGCTTCTTGTACATGATCTCGTACTTTGCTTTTTCCTCCTTGTGTGTGTCTGCAAAGTGATCTTTGAGAGTCCTCTTGAAGTGAGCCCAGCTTTCTAAGAGTGTGATCTCTCCTCCATCTGATCTTTCTTCCGCAATCTTCCTTCTCTCGACCCATTCTGTTCTCAGGGCCGCTGCTGCTCCGATGCTCATATATGATAAAGCAAAACTTATCCAATTTCTTTCTCGGGAAAAGTATGCTTGGTTTGCAGTGAAATGGAGTTCTAGAGACTCCGAGAAGCTTTGAAACTTCTTTTTGTCTCCGTTGTAGGGTTTGGGTTTTGCCAGTGCCATTTTTCTAAACTCGGCTTCTGGTGCGCGTGGCAGGCCCATCCCTAAAGGCTGCCTCCTTTCTGTCTCTGCGAGTCTTCTTCGCAATTTGAGCACTTCTACGTCTTTTGATGCGAATATTTCTTCCCACAGCTCGTTGTTGTTTGCGATGGCTGTGTTGACCGCCATTGTGATTAAGTTCTGCAGGTTGTGTATCTGCTGCTGCTGGTTGGGTGCCGGCGATAGTGCACGCGGCGGAGTATGCAATAATGTGTCGCGTAAATTGGACATGTCGGTCGACCCTATCATATCGGGGTTGGTCTCTCTCCACACTTCGAAGGACATTGTTTAGGGATGGTTGTGATGATAAAAATGATAGAGCGGGGGATAGTCATTCTTGTTTTATGATTGGCTCAAGAGAAGACCAATCAATTGGGGATCTAGTTGGGTAAAGTGAAATTGATGCAAAGGGCATTCAAGAAGGTTCCCCAGATGACAAGTCTGGATCAACACGTCTTTAATGAAAGATCCCTTTCTCTGTCTTCCTTCTGCCAACGGGTTCCTCTTCTGTCCCCGCTTAGCGTGTACGTAAACTATTTATCTATAGTACCTGTGTTCTAAAGTATCGTAACTGAGGTCTGAACGGTTGTCTCAGTGATGACCAGCGTTAACCGCGTGCAGTCCTTTTTCTACTGGCAGACACAAGTGTGCGACCTGGTAAGAAGCGTAAAGAAATGTTGTATCTAATAAAACCTCAATGACTCCACGTCACTGGGCTCTCTAAGTACTGGGTTGTGGGGGCGGATGATGGGAGATAGGGGAATGGTTTCGAAAGAAGAGTTAGAGGGGGAGGATTGGATGAATGTGATGATAGTAGATGGGCGAGTGATAGGAGATGTGATTGAAGGAAGTGGTGTGATGAGGCGGATGTAAAGTTTGAGTAGAACAAAGAGTAGGATGATGATGACGGGGGTTAGGATGATGGTAAAAATAGCCTTTGTTTGTGTCATCAACTAGGTGCTCCACTAGCTTTTGATTATATAACGACTAAGCTGCACTACTGGAAGAAACCAGGCAAACTCAACGTCAATTGCAAGCAGGTAGTTGAACAGGTCGTATAAAGACTAAATCAAAAGCTAAGGTATGTACATCGTTGAGTGTCTACTTATATATGTAAGAACTCATGTCAGCCATGAGGCGCTGACTGATAGACATGAGGATGTAGCATGTATCTTGGTAAGATGATTTGTAAGTAATCACATGACTTAAGGTCACGTGATGAGATAAGATATAGATAAAGGAAAAAGCTATGTGATAAGATAAGGAGAGATAAGAGTCTCGACGTCTGAATTTGAGAGAAAAGGTGAAGTGTCAGGTGTGAAAGAGAGGGATTGTGACAATTCTCCTCCCCCATCACTCCGGAGGAATTCTGTGTATAGTGGAGTGAAGTTTTCTTCTCCCAAATGAGTCTAAGAATATTTGGACATCTTCTTTCCATTGCTTGTATTGTTCCAGTGGTTCACTCTTATGTTTTAGAAAATATATCCATGGAAATTTGGAGAAATCATCTACAGTGATAATCCAGTATCAAAAACCCTGCCTGGAAGTTGTATGGGGCGCTTGGCTTGGTTTCCTCCAGTAGACTTGAAAGGTAATTTCTTCATCATTCCTAAAGCACAAGGTTCACAAAACTCCGGGGTTCCGGTATGGGTGTCTATGTCCTGGAGCTGTCCTTATATAACCATTTGTTGCAAGCAGTGCATTCCAATGTGTCCCATACTCCTGTGCAATAAATTTACATCTACTGCTGCAAAAGCTGACTTTGGGTTGATTTCAGGTTTTGCTTGGATGTGATAAAGTCCTCGCTTGTGTAAGGCAGTGAGGATAAGTTCCTTCTTTTTCCGAACCTTACAAGCATTTGATCCTGCTGGAAAAAGTGTTGATAACCTCGTTTTAGACAATTTGTGGACAGAGACAAGTGCTAAAGTGAAGTTTGGCACAAGTGAGACATTTGACAATGCAATATTGTAGTCCTTATTGCCAACAGTTGCTTGTAGGATTACAGTTCCAATTCCAATGGCATTTACAGAGGATTCATCCCCAAAACTGATTGTCCTCAGAGGATGCAGAACATGGTATGTTCCTGGCTCAAACCAGGAGCGGTGAGGGATTGTGTGAGATGTTGCTCTGGAGTCAATAATAATTGTTGTTTTGGTCTTATTGGGTTCTGACACAAGGTAAGCTTGAATGTGTTTAGCAAGGGGCTTGGAAATATGTACATGATCCAATGCAATATGACTCTGTTCCTCCTCGGAGTCAGATCCAGATGATTGCTCCGCCGTATTTGCCTTTTCCTTCTCTTTTCCTTATTCTTGTGTCTTTCCTTTCCCTTCTTCCTTTGACCTTTTCTAGCTGACTGAAGTGTTTGACACTCCAAGGTGTTGTGTGATTTAGCTTTGTGAAAGTCACACCACTTTTTCTCGGATTTGAGTGTGATTCGGAACCTCCAGGGGCCTTCCCTGACTGTCGTGCAACTTCTGCAGTGATCCAGATCTCAACTGCATCAAAGGTAAGTTTATTTTCTTCAATCGTGTTGATTACTGATGACTGAAATATATTTGCCATTCAGGAGTGCATGGGAGAGATTGGAGAAGAGCGAAAGCCATGAGTTTGGTATCAACTCCTAATTTCATTCCGGAGAGGTGTGAATCAATTGTCCGGATTTTCGCAATGTGGTCCTGGATAGGTGATGTCCCATCCCAGGACAATTTGGTGAGTTGCTGGAATGAATAGAAGGCCGAGGCAATGTTGGACGTTTGATGGAGTGAGACAAGTTTATCAAATAACTCCTTGGAGCTGGTGAGGTCTCCAGTCCTCATTAGGAGGGCATCAGAGATGTGGTCCTGGATGATTCCATGTGCCTTCTCATCCTTAAGTATCCAGGTGATCTCAGGATCCTCCAAGGAGGTAGGTTTTCCTGGTGAGGGCTTAAGCTCCTCTCCAGTAACAACCCAGAGAACATTTTCCCAACGTAGCTTTGAGATGATCCAGAGTTTCCATATCTGAAAAGTGTTGGGTCCAGTGAGAACTGGACATGCGGATGTATCGTGTGCTGTGGTCATGGTTCCAAGGTTGCTGTTTCAAAAAAGAATTATTTCCTGTGTAGCTTTTGCGCACCAGGGCTCATAACCTAATAAAACTAAGTGAAACTCAGCCACTGCCTGAGAGGCTATAGAAACGACTGAGGTATTTCTATACTAAACCCCCTACTACTTATAGTCGGAGGTGCTACTCGCTACAGTATAATGACTCCTAGGAGAATGATGGGTAACTCCATGGAGTGGTGGTGATGCTCCATTAAAAACCATGGCTGCTTTAGCAGAGACCGGATTGACAAATTATGACATTTGTTTATAGTATGAGAAAACATGCATTGGCCAGGGCTTGAACCTGGGACTCCAGCTTTCATGGTCTGGTGCTTTACCAACTAAGCTACCAAGGCATACTTGGAAAGCATACTGATTGGTTGCATGCCCAGAAGGTCCAGAATCACTGTACACGGGTGCAGATCCCATTGTGCTGTGATATGGATTTGTCCGGATTTGTCACTCCCACTTGAGTGCAACCATAGTCCCATAGCTTTAGAGAATTTCAAGTGTTTTTGTTTTACATGAGTGAAGGTATTATTCCCGTGCCTAGTATTGCAACTCTCAAAACCTAGTGGCACTCTGGCGGCTGGAACAGTTGCCAAATCCGCTGCTGGTGCGACGGCAAAGGAGATTCTCCCATCTTTAGGGGCTTCAGGCGCCATTTACGCAGCTGTCACACTCAGCGCACTGGCATTCCCTGATGCTAGTATCAGCCTCATATTCCTCCCGTTCTTTGCAATTCCTATCCAGTCAGGTGTGGGTGCTATTATAGCCTTGGATGCTATTGGTATATTGCGTGGTTGGAAGTAAGAGATTGTATTGCTACTGCTTTGATTTTGTTTTGCTGATCTCTGGCTCTGGTACAAGATGTTTGATCATTATGCGCATTTGAGCGGCGCGACTTTTGGGGTGTTGTACTATTTGTATGGACCACAATGGTGGGATTTTATGAGGATTATCCACGATCCTACGGAGGAAGAAAAAGAAAAGTCGGAAGCATAGATGGCCATTTTTCATTGTCAGTATCCTCTCTACTCAATACTATTAATTATTGTTAGGTACTACTACACGTGCACCACAAGAATATAAAGATGATTCAATGCATCACTATACTCTTGGATTATCTGCAAGTAACTACGTCAGATTAAAATGAGAAGTCTTACAGCTCGTTCAAGCTTTTAGCAGCCTATTCCATTGCACTTGTAATATCAAACCTGTGCGAGAACTAGAAGTCATGTTATCCCTCCTAACTGCAAGCAGCCTATTCCATTGCACTTGTAATATCAAACCTGTGCGAGAACTAGCAGTCATGTTATCCCTCCCAACTGCACATTCTGTGAAAGTCCGGTGAAAATGAGTGGGTGACAAATGTAATGCGATTTTGGGAGCTATGGTACAAAAGGTCTTGAAAGGATACAACAAACTACTTCAGCTGAGCCTCCAACTGTTCGAACTGATAATCATCATGCGCCTTGCTCATAACGGCGTGCGCACGAACCTCGGCATGCCACTTATTATTTTCATTGAGCGCGGCTGGGTATCTGTCCTCTCCTTCCTTCCCAGCCCAATCGAAATCAACGAGAAACCCTTGCTCCTTGGAAGAAACAACATTCGTGTCACGCAGGTCTCCGAACACAAACCTATTCTCGTGCAAGAGCTTTAGTGCCCTTTTAACATCCCTCAAGACAGCTTCGGGAACAGGTTTGGGCCTTGAACTGTTTCGCAGTCGCCAGATTGATGCACCGTCTTCGAGATGGTCCATGACGACCATAAAAAGGCCCCCGATGATTGGCTCGCACCAGTGGAGCTTTGGGGCCAGTTTGGCATCGGATAAGAGGCGGTGGGCTGCTTTACCGTACCGACTCGCAAACTTGACGACGACCTCGGTAGCACCATCAGGGGTGGCAGCGTCACCAAGGGTAGCCCGGTACAGCGCGGTGGTCCCAACTCCCAGGTCTGGCAAGCTGGTCGAAATGTGCTCGCCGGTTCGCAAGAGGACACCGTGGTAGGTCAGGCACGGCAATGCATTGCCTGATACTGAGGTTGGGTCAGGGTAGATTGCCGCAATAGTTACGTGGTTGCCCTGAACTGCGCGGTAGTGCGCTGCCAGTGCCGCTCGACACGATGAAAGGCACCTGAAGATTCGAGCCGCATGGATGATGTTCTCGGACAAGTGAAATCCGGGGGTGATATTGAAGGCGACTAGCCTGGATGCGTAGATAGAGCCAACACAGACAGCCACACCAATCTCGATCCGATTTCCCGAGAGACCGAGAAGCAAGACAGGGAAATTGCAGGATCCTTGAAAGTGCGCAAGCTAGAAAGGACACGTCAACGGAGATACGAACGTGGATGCGTGCTGCCGCACCTGGGGGTCCGACACAATCTTGCTGTAGTCGGCAAGACTTTGAACAAAAGGATCTCCGCCAATACCAGGGGCATTTTTCAGCTCCAGGATTGTGACAGGGAACTCACCTTGCCACCAACTCGCATCAGGCTGGATGTTCCCCACCCGGTCAAGCCTTTCCTCCCACTGACCAGGCTCCCCCATTAAGTGGTCGACGTGCTGCCGAATGGCGTTCCGGCGACTGTCCTCATTGTGATAAGACATGATTGTACTGCTGAGGAAGCTAGACGCGTGGCTGACATCATGTTCGGTCACCTCGAGATCGCCAAGCTCGGCGAGGGCCCGTTGTAGGTGCGCAAGTGGCGGGCTGAACATGGCGGCTGGGACTTGATCGAGGCACACAGGATGGCCATCGGCATTGAGGAACTTTGCCAATGCATCAGCGCTCCTTACAACTGCAGATGGGGAGGGGCTGGATGATAGTTTGGCGAACTGCTTGCCGAGCTCTGCAAAAATAATGAGGATTGAACAAGTGACAAGTGGGTGGACTCGTACTTTTCTTAATCTGTATCCGAGACCGCGCTTGAGGATCGTCAACAAAGTCAAGTAGCTCCTTGACTGAAACGGGGTGAGGGGGCTAGGGAGGGGTATGGAAACACATGAAAAAACGCACTCTCGGCATTGGCAACAATGATATGAAGAGTACCATTTGGCAGGGCTTCGGTGAACACGTCTCCAATATCATGTAGAACACTGAGCTCGGCTGCCTCTGGTTGGATGCGAAGCCACTGAATGACACGGTCTGTCAGATCCACCTCGGGCTTTATCTTGACATCCGCCTATCCAGGGTCAGTCATTTGGCATCGTAGACTAGGTGGCAGACACACCTTGTACAGCACAAGGTCCCTCAGTGGGACATCATAGCTTTCCTCCTTGAGCTGCTTGTGGACCTCCCTCAACAGTGATTTGACTTTGAGATTGCCCTCAAAAATGATTTGCGTGAAAAACGGTGGCTCCACCGGAAAGTAGCAGTTGAGGTTGAGCTTCATGATGGGCATGGTTCACCTGTTTGGTTACGGCTGAATTCAGATCGATAGTAGTCTTCAGTCCCAGTCGGAAACGACACAATTTGTTAGTCTCCCCAGTCAGACCAAATTGATATGACAGTCGATATCAGTAACTACTAAGGTCTGATCCGAACTAAGGCGTACAGGAGCCCTCATTCGGTGTCAATAACACGACTTCTTGAAACTTTTTCGCCAAAACCCGAGATCAGCAGAAACTCAACATAAACTCAGCAACTTGAAACCCAGCAAGCGCTAACTCAAACTGCAAGAGCATCCTCAGACAGCTGGCCCTAACAAAGTCACGTGAAATCCACGTGACTTCTAAATTTCGTATAATTTACTGTACTTGGCAATAATTTCTATGTGTTTTCAAGTTCCAACTCTACATTGCCTGCTACCTCTATACTTTCCTAATGGAATGCTCACAAAAATCATGCAAGAACATAGTTCCCGAGCAAAACATTGGTAGAAATGGCCTGCCATACAAGATGTGTTCCTCATGTAGAGAAAAAGCAAGAATGGCTGTCACTGCACACCAAACAAAAAGGAGAGGTGACGAACACACAGATCCACCTCCACGTCAGGCACCTGCTCCGCACCAGGAGACTACAGACGAGGTGGGTAGACTTACTGGAGAAGGGACCCGTGAGGTCATACCTCCAATACCTGAAAGGCATGACAGTTCAGACGAGGATGGCCCTGGAACTGTAGGTCTACAACTCACCAAGTAAGGAGCTAACTAAGCCGTGTTAGCAGGCCGTAAAAGTCTATGAAAACAGTAACACATTGTTTTGTGCACTCCGAGAAGACTTCAAGAGCAGAGAGAGTGTGAGCTTCTTCGGCAGCTACCAGCTTGCAGAAGATCCATTTGTCGATGATAAAAAAAGAGTTGAGATGACCATTAGCAACATATGGAAGACCACTGGGTACCGATTCACGTGAGGAGCTGTCTGTCCTCCTGTTATATCACTGACATCTGTGGCTAGGGTGAAGGATCATACAAAGACTCAAAATGGCCACAAAACGTCTGTGGTGCTGTCAGGATGACGGGAGGAAGAAAAAAGCCAAGCCAAGCACAAAGCCTGATGTTAAACACCGTGATCATGTTGGCATGCAGAGGTTTGACTGTGGTAGCCAGCTCAATGTGTTATGCATGAAACGCACTTCTGGAACTCGTGTTGTGACTATCCGACTCAAGCATGAGCAGAGGCACAAACCTTATTATGATGTCACCATGCCGCCCGAGGCAATCCAGATCATATGCAACAATATTGAGTGGAGCACTCCAGTTTCAATGATACCCAAGGTACAAGCCCTGTATCCTCACATAACAGGAAAACAAGTCCATAGGGCATGGACGGAAATGAGCGAGGTCCTTTGGAAGAAGGACCCTGTCCAACTTACCTCTGTGTATATCCTTCTCAGTGAGCTCAAGGATGACGTAGATCTATTTGATATCAAAGTAGCGGATGGTGTTGAACAGCTGTGTTGGGGCATGAAGAAAATTGCGCAGCGGCTAAAAGGAAAAGTTGTCGAGATTGGAATCGACGCAACGTGTAAAAAATCACCGCCACTGCATATGATGTCAAGACTGACCTTGACTAACAGATAATACAAACTCCAAGAATCTCAAACTCTACAGTGTTCTTGGAGAATATGACAATGCAGGGTTTTCCCTGTCATACTGCGTAATATCCACAGCAAGTGCCCTAGATATTGGCAAGCGGAAGGTAGCCTTGACAGCATGGGTAAAGTGTCTACGTGACACATATGGTGTTGTACCCATCTTCACGCACGTCAATAAGGACATGGCTAAAATTGGCATGCTCCGGGAGATCTGGGACGCAAAGATTCAACTATGCTGGTGGCACCTACGACAAGCAATGCAGTGCCTGGCTAAAAATAAGCTGGCAACCACTCCATATAATCCCCAACGTGCGCATTCAGAATTTGCCTTCATCGACACAACATTTGTTCCCCCCAGAAAAGCAGACATGACCAAGTATGAAGGTGGTGCCCCAGATGTGTTGCAAGTCAACGAAGCTCCTTGCCCTACCCCAAATACCTAGGCTGCCATTGATGGTGTCACCACTGACAACAAATAGCACACCACCCATTGAAACCGACTGTCAGTGTGACTGCGACGAGACCACTGGCCATGGGAAATTGATGATCAGGTTGCCAAAGCGGCCTAAAAATGAAACTGTAGACCAGTTGGAATCAATCGGGCACAAGACAATGAAGGAAAAATGCACATTATGTCCCAAAAATCATCGGGAGAAGATCATTGATATGATGGAAAGGCATTTCTGTGCCCATCCTCTCATCTCTGGATACTCGCACCCAAGCCGCCGAGGGATTTGTGACTGGGCAGTCAAACAAATGTATCAATTTTGCGTCGTGAATGATCTACGTGAAGCCTGCGCATACCTCTGGGAGAACTGGTACAGGCTAGAGCGATGTCGATGATGAGAACTGCTGTTAGAAAACCACACACAAAACAAACTAACACACAATCCGCCCAGATTCCACGGAACTTGTTTATGGGCTTTGCCTCCTAGAACAGTGGAGTGGTCTGGTTGTTCGTGGGGTGGTACATATAAAGATCCTTCAAAGTAAAACCCAGAGGTGTATGAGTGTGGGTTTTGAGGAGGAGGGATAGTTGAATTTATAGAAGGATAGGGGCTTTGTAACGAGTATAGATGAGCACTACCTTGCTAATCGTAGCACAAGGTAGGTTTGAGAATGACAATATGACGAGGTTCCCAGTGATAGCAGGCTCCTGACGCACAAACTGTAGTGCTCAGAAGGACTCTAATTGAAAGGGATGACAATGACTTCAAAAGTGGGAAGTGACGATGACAGCAGTTGACAGTGGTAGAAGTGGGAAGTGTTGTGACCACACTGGATCACAAGTAGCAGAGTAGTGAACTTGAGAGTAGAGAAGAAGTCTGGATTGGAGTTCTTGTTCTTTTTTTACAAGGTAAAATACAGGGGTTTATATAGTGAAAGAAAAGTAGGCTATGCACAGTATAGCTGCGCAAAAAGAATGAGAAAGAACATGAAGGAAGGAATGTACGCTGACAAATCCTGCGTAGGTAGTACAGGATAAGATTGTCAAAAAAAAGGAAAAGAAAGGGATAGAACAATAAATGCTGTGAGTAATGTCACAGGTTTGTACAGCCATAAAGTAAAGTCCAATAGCAAAAAGAGAGCAGGAAAATCATGATGTCATGGGAAGATGCAGTAAAAAAGGGCAAGGCAAAACACTATCAGTATCAACACAGGTTCCTTTATTGTCAGTCAGGCATTCTAAAAAAATATGTGTCCATAAAAATGATTCAAAAATCAAAAATAATTGCACTGTAAATAAATGTTCTGCTGAAAAAAAAGAAACTGGAGCCACCGGTCCACCACCTAGTCCAAATCCAACAGTTCCATGGCCTTACCAATGGACTGGTTGTGTTGGACCACCTGATCAAACGAGGGAGGGAGAGGAGTAGTTCCAATTTGGAACAAGTGAGTCCCAGGCAGCGTGTGGTAGGTGTAGCTGTAGCAAAGACAATGGACAAAAGATAAGTGTACCCAAGTGAATGGGACAGCAATGAACATGGGCAACGCAAGGGGATGAACCTTCTCCAGCTCAAAAACTACCCACCCACGCTCCAACCAGGCAAGACGAGCGACCAATGTTTTGATAGTATATGATGGCAGATCGACGTCATGAAGATGGACCTGTTGCCCTATTTGGACCGGCTGCCGGGGCTTTGCTGATATCAGCAGTGGCACGTGGTAGTCAACGGATTGGATATCAGCAGTGGCATGTGGTAGTCAACGGATCGGATATCAGCAGCGGCACGTGGTAGTCAATGGATCGGCAACGGAAGCGGATAGGAAGTGGTGACATCAGAAATGGTGGGGGTGCAAATAAGATGAGGAGGAGGAGGGTGGAGGTGACAAAAAAGTGGATTAGAATGGGGATCCAGAAACGACCGTCAGGTGAGAATAAAAAGGAGAGGAAGGGGCCCATGGTGGGGCTAGGCAAAGGAAGGGGAGTAAGGGAAACAACAAAAGCGAGGGCGCAATGAAATGTGTAGCCAGTGGCGACGCGAAAATTTGCCGAAATGCCGAAACACGGAAAGTACCGGATGGAAAAGCAAAGGTGAGCGTGACTGGATTGCCTAATAGAGGTGGTGCTGATCAGCCACAAGTTCGAAACAGGCAATATTAATTACTATTCCACGTGGCACTGTGTCTGTGTGGCGCAAAGGCGAGTCTTTTTGAATATTTGCTTCATTCTTGACACCTGTCCATGCTACCAATCAACTTGGTGCATGACAGCGATGGGAATTGTGGGCACAATCATATCATGATGAGATTCCAGTGCTCAAGACCACAATGATTCTAGAGAGCCAGTAAGTCAGCTTACACATAACGAGGGACATTAGTAACTTACATTCAATAGTTGGTGTCGTATCAAACATGACATTCTTCTGCATTTTCACAAGCCGCGCGTTGACCTTCTGGCATGGGTTCTTGTCATGAAGCTGGCGCCTACCTATTATTGCAAGCTAGACCATTTGATGGATAACAAAGGCCAATATTGTGAACTTGCATCATGGCGCAAGGCATTCAAGCGGGACTGGAAACAGGTGGCAACAACCCCAATTACTATGCCGTTGAACAATAAATACAGACCAAACACACTCACCTGGGTGTGTACCTGCCCACATTTCAGTACCAGCCAATTTCTCCTCTGCAAGCATCTTATTCAAGATGTCCATCCTGTCCCCCCCTTGTTCTTCCTCGAGGTCAAGCGTAATTGAACAACGCCGTTCTGGAAGCATCCAGCACTTATTTTGCTGGACACTCCAACCGGCCATTTGAATAGTGATGACACCGTTTTGCTGACAAACATGGCTGCTGGACAAGGGGATTCAGACATCCGAGATGACAAGGATTCAGGTGATGAAGGAATTATTGACGTCGGAGGGATAGAGAATTGGTCTGTAGGTGAAACAATGGTGACTCATGCAAAATTACTGCAGGATTTTGCAGACGGTATCCTCTACCAGGCACAATTTAATGACCATCGATGGGGGGAGAGCTTGGAGCGGGAGGGGGCGTCCTTGTTTCAGCTTGCCAGTCATTGCCTTGAGCATGAGCGTCAATATAACTCGACGAGGGGAACTTTGCCGACAACGTGGGAGAAGACAGCAATGAGCGCAATGTATTACCGCACACGCCCACCACGCGCAGACGCCTTGAGTTGATATATTTTGTTGATCAATCTCACACGCACTTAGATATTACTATGTTTGAGTAATTATATTATTAATTTGTTATCAGCATGGGATTGTTTGGCTGTAATACTGGGGGAGAGGTACGACACTTTCCTCAGACTTGCCTTTCAAAAGTCATTATCTAGGCAGGAGCCACATATATATTTATCAAGGAATAAGGGTTTTGACAATATGAATGGTATCTAGCTTTTTTTTGAGTCTAGTTTATTTCTTAGCACAGTTTTGGGTCTTCTGTATATTGCTTCCTTATTATCATTATCATGCTACAGTACTTCACTGGTTTAGCCTTTGAAAGGCATACAATTTATAAAGAATAAGTAGTAGACTGCCCTTGCTGATATTTCATAGGGGCCATGTAAGGATGTACTCAAATTTTAGTGGACCTGTGTTTCTCGTAAATGTGGCCGTTTCATGCCGATTTTGTGGTACCTGCTGACCATTCTCAGACTCGCCTTGTAAGCTTTATTGGTGCCGAATGGGGGGCTCCCGCACGCCACCCTTAGTTTGGACAAGACTAACAATTTGTACCAAATTACATAGAATTCTCACAAATGAGCATATTTATATCTAATCTAATACAATCCTGAACATTTCCCACAATTTAGAGTTGAGAGTATCAACATTGACTCAATCAACAGACTTGCGTGCGATCTCGTGCACCAGACTGAGTGCACAAATTACAACAGTCAACCTTATCAACATGAAAGCCAAGGTGACCTATACAAAGATCCCATAACATTTGGACTTGACGATGTTAACCTGTAGACCCTGACTCGGACCACGAAGCTAGACAGCATCAAGATTGCCATGGCATTTGTTAACGCCTTAAAAGAGGCTCATCTTGAAGACCCCCATATGAAACTTGATCCCGAGGCTCTCAATTGACTGCAAAACTTCCCGCAAGAAACATGTCACCTCAAAAGTCCATTTGAGCGATTTGCACTCGATTTTTTTCTAGCAACTACCAATGCGTCCAAACAGGCATCAAGTACATGACACCTACCACCAATTGCACCCTGAGAACATAGATAGGATCCAGTCACACTATCAAATCAAGCACCGTATGGCTGAGTTGAGCGGTGTTGAGTCACTGGTGCATGATATGTGTGTCAATACATGCATAGCATATACCGGACCCTTTGGACAAATGCCCAATGTGTCTTCAACCACAATACGACGAAGCAATGCTCATGCAATCTAAGGGGAAGAGAAAAGTTTCTTGTCAGCAATTCCATACAATGCCAATAGGCCCACAAATACAAGCTATTTGGCAAGACTCAGACAATGCAACTAATATGAGGTACTGGGAGATACAAACTCAAGAACTAAATAAAGAACTCAGTCTCAATGATGGAGTCCTCAGTTCCTATGACGACTTCTTCACTGGAAGCGACTACCTCAATGCCGTCGCAGATGGTTGGTGTAACAACCAAGAGTGATTTACTCTGGCGCACACAGGAACACACTATATAGAAGAGGAAGTTGGGGAGTGGTTACCCCTTAGGCTGCAGTGAGTTAGTTGTGCTAGACAACAGGAGGACTCGCTGAGGAGTCTCCTGGGGTATATATACTACTACAGGTTTGTTTGTACATGTGTACTATACAGTTGCAAATAAAGTTTAAAGTCCGATGTCTAGCATGTGACCTGTCACATGGTGAGTCTAGACTTTGGTCAGGTGATGTGTCACGTGACTTATAAAAGTCGAAAATGTAAAGTAAAGTAAATGGTCACATGACTGGTCATGTGACTTGGAAAATGAAAAGTT